ATATGAAGGGAAGCTGAGTCTCGATGAGTCGTCTGTTTAGTATTTATCATTAATGAGCTGACCTTCATTTTGTGAGATCGAGCAACGAATCTCTTCTTCATGCACTCTCATACGAAATGAAGGTCCCCCTAACAATGTTACCTCAGGAGATTGATCGAAACCAAGTTTCTCTTCGTATCTACAGCGATACAACACACAGGCCTGTCCGCGTTTCATTGTGGACGGATCGCTTAGAGGCCAGAGTCGACCATCCGGTGTTGGATCTCGGCCTCGGACTCATCTAGGCCTACTTCACTGGCGGCAGTTCTTCCTGCTCCAGTTCTCGGTTGCCATGGTGCCTGAAAAATATGCTCAAGCTGACACAGAGCCCCAGAGCTGTCTGTAAAGAGGTCGAGTCCAAACGACCAATGACAGACGACCAACCGCGCCCCGCCTCAAGCCGCCATGACGGCGTCATCACCCGCTCGGATTATTTCGACTGGCAGGTGGGTAGGGAACGGTATCTTTTGCCAGAAAAAAAAGCATTTAATGCTGCTTAGTAATCAATAGTATTGCAAAGTAAATAAATGTTTTCCCTATTGCCGGTTTGTGAAGTCCTCCATGCAGTGGGTAGATTATTCATAAAGAAACAATCTACGTAGTCCCTCCTGTACATTTTGGGGTGATTAGCCCACTCTTCTGCTCTCCCCCTTTCCTCTGCCCATGCGGACCTAGTGGCATGGGAGTCTGCAATTGGGATAATGTAAACATTTATCCAACGAATGGCCAAGTCATTGCTATAAATCGGTCGCAAAGCTGAGGCATTCAGGAGACCGCGAAACCAGAATAGCGTCGAAACCGGCCTCGGTTGGGCTCTGAAGCCAACCTACAGAAGAGGCCAAGCGAAGCAACTCTTCGTTCTGTTCAACAACAAGAGCATAAAATTAGCTGCGCAATAGACACGATTCTATCTCCGACGCGAAGCCCACTCGTAAGCGTGGCTTTGGCGCGCAGGAAAGCCACAGGCCAGCGGACCGGCTTGTCTGATGCGCCTCTGCCCGACGGAAGAGGAAAAGTAAAAGTCGTCTCAGGCTGCCTTGTGCATGCGTCGACTGAATTAGGACTTGCTATGCCAACGGTCGACGTAAAAATGTTCAGGCCTGAGTAGTTACGCCGGTTGTTGT